CTGTATGGCTTTGGCTCAGAAATTTTCAGCTTTTGTGCCATGGGGGCGAGGTTCACACCACCCCCAAATTGATTTCCGCCTCCTTGAAGTAGGCCTTGTAAAGCAGCATTGACAACATTGAGCTGGCCTGTCAAGTTGTCTATGGTTTGTTGCATGGCAGTCACCCTATCTGCCTCTTGTTCCCTGTTGGCCAAATCCTCGGCACGCTCCTGCTGGAGGACCTCAAATTTATCAAAAATTTTAGCTGCCTCTGTGGCTGCTGTTTGCCGGTCTCCTTCAGAGTCGCGACTGATGTTTTCTATGTCAACTTCGGCCTGGATGAGTCTGCGGTCCAGGTCGTCCAACCTTTGCACTAGGCTGGTCTTTAGATCGGGCACCATTTCCACGATGGGCCGTAATGCGTCAACCGTTCCCTCAAGGGTCGCGATGCGATCCCCATAATTCACCATGGTCAGAAATGGTGGTAATTGCAATGTAATCCCTCGTCCGATGTCGAGCCTAGGCTCTGATACCAACTGTTACGCGGCGCCTTCCTGAAGTTCCTTGGAAGGGCGACGTAAGGCTAGGCAACCGATGTCAGTACGGTTGCTGTCCGCCAACTGAGGTCCCCTCCGTACGCTAGACTAGATTGTCAGTGCCGTACGGGAAAACCAATGTCATGAGCAATTGAAAGAGAGCAGAAAAGAGAATTGAGAATGAAAGAAAGCTTGATTGCATTGAATGAAAGCTATTACAGAAAACAAGACGGTGTCGGGGGGGAGAGACACCAGTACAGAGAATTGTTTGCTTGCTTGAAAGTTTTGATTGCTTGGTCCCCCTTAATAATGCTTAAAAAAAATAAACCAAAGTTACATGACTAGACCTATGAAAGCTGGAAAATCACACTTAAAGAAAATGCAGCAAAACTACTCTATATTTACAATGAAAAGGACTTAGTCTTCTACAAAGCAGCAGCAAGTCCGTTGGCAGCAACTTTGTCTTTAGCATCAGGGTCTGCGCGCGCGGCATTGTCTGCGCGCGCGGCGCTGTCGGCTTTTGCCTGTGGCTGGGCGCTGGCGATGGCTATCGGTGGGGCGACAGAGGCACATGCGCGCTTGTCACTTGGAGCTGCCGAGACCACGGGGCCGACCGTGGCGACGGGCGTTGGGAGGCTGGCCAGGACGCCACGGGGCGCGTCCAAGGGGTCATCGGGCATGGTTGGAAAGCCGCCTATGACATTACTCATGATACACTGCAGCGCAGCCAGTTCAAACAGAACACAACAGGCACTTATAACATAATATTTCATAATGATCTTAAGGTATTTTTGTTTTCTTAAATGACAAGGCTAGATTTCTCACTTCTGCTATGGTAACGCCCTGTCTAATATTTTCTTGAAAGCAACATCGCATAATCTAACATTTGAACTCTTAAGAGTAAATTATCTGCTTGTATATACATTTAATTTCGAAGGATTACGAGGGGAAAATGGATGTAATCCATGTTCGTGAATGAGAGTTTCTTTAGTACATGTTTTTTGCAAAGAGAGCATATATATTGAGTTGAAGTCAGGAAAAGGGCTTGTTTATAAAAATAGATACACATTGTATCTTATTGTTGCGAGACTTGACTTCCTCACAACTTCATGACTTACTAAATTAACAACCCAAAAAAAGAAAAACGAAGACAGTAAATTTGTATAGAACCTTCGTTCTCCTATTCTTGCAACTAAACGGTCCTAAAAGGCTAAAAGCATATGCAATCCTTTGGATTGATGCAATAGGAAGTGATGTATTTCACACCTCTTCGTGGTTCTAAGGATGGAGTAAAATAGACGCTTTCAGTTGTTACATTTCATGTATCTTCTGCTAGAAACTTGTAGCATGAACATACTCAGAGGCTACAAGGATGTAGTGATTGAATCAGACTCAAAGTCTGATTAATGCTATAAACAGACAGTCGTTTATTCCTAGGCAAATCAACCAACTAGTTAAGTAGATTGTATGCTGAAGAATATAGGCAACTATAGTTTCAAAGTTCAAACACTGCTATATAGAGGCTAATGGGCCGGCTGATTTACTTGTCAATTGAAACTTGCATGTGAAAACCTCTATTTTCCTTACCGAGAAAGGTGAAATCCTCAATGAAGACAGACAAGCTAGAAAGAAATTTTTTGATGTATAGTTTTGTTACTACATGGTATGTCTAACTTGTCCTTTTTGTCTTATATCCTTCCCAAGTGTATTATAAGGCATCCCAATATGAATTTTGCCCAAGGGAATGCCCCAAACTAGTAATTGCTCAGGATAAGGACATTAGTTGTCCCAATCCTCAATGTATTTACCTTTTGGATTCCAATATATAGATTGAGGTCCAGTCTAAAACTCTCACCATATTGGTGATTTTCTAACTAAAAAAAAAAAACTTGAATATTACATGAAGGATGTGAAAAAGTGTACTATTATCTCTACAATATTGAGTCAAATTAATATCTATGGTGAATCTCCCCGATAAATAATTAAACATTATAGTTGGAACATCAAATCTCTATGAAATACTAACTCTTTTGATCATTTTCTAGCAAAGGCAAAATACATCGACAACACCTTAGATTTGTCTACAGTTTTCACTTAAATACTTTATCTCAAGTTTGTTCCATTCGAACACTTTAACCAGGTTTTTACTGTGTCATTTAGACACAAAAAGCTGACATGGCCAAGGCAAGTGTTACTCACATTAGTCAAGCGCGTGAAGTAGTCCCGATAACGAACTCTTCATACTTCTTGCTGGAAAATGTAATTTTTGCTGGTCTGATATCAAATCCAAGTTTTGCTATCAATTAAAATGTTGGAGCTGATTTAGTTTCCAATTTCACGCTATTGAATTCGCTTCGAACGAGTGAAGGTGAATCGAAGTGTTCCTGGTGATTTTACAGCTCGTTGACTGGAGGTATTATTTGATTTCGTCATCGATGGATTGAAGCATCTTCGTGGAATCATTCTTGGTATTATTGACTATTTCATAAACTGTAAGTAACCATTTTACTGTTGGAAATGTCAGCTCCGACTAAGCTTCAATTGGCCGGAAATGGAGTTCCGACGGTCGAAATCGAAAAAACCCAATGCGAAAAGCTTTTCTGCTGTCATGGCGAATGTGTCTAAGCTTTCTCCCACTTACTTCATCCAGTCAAACTCCATGATAATGCAAAAAGAAATTTCAGCTGTTCCGAGCATACAAGGTATTCGACAAAATGACACAGTGAATTCCCACCAGTTATATAGCAACAAATTGGTGTTAAAGCACTTCTGAACTCATCTAAAGTCCCTACTGATGCTGGATTGCAAGCAGATTCTCAGACAAGTGCTGATCATAATCTTTCTTCTTCTTTATAGCTTCAGCTGGTCGGTAATCGTGGTGAGACGACACAACATGCCCAACCTTAACTCAGAAAATTAGCGAAAACACTAATTTGATCGATTTTGCAGTTGTAAAATCTGCTACCTGAGTTTGCTTCTGTCCAAGATATTTTCAGTTCTTCACATCACAAGAAGCAAAAATTTGAGAGCCCGGTGCTCTTTTCGATATTGCACTGATTGCCTTCTTCAATCGAGCAAACTAGGAGAAATTTGAAAAAGATAAAAAAAAAAAAAAAGGAGACCTCCTAGCATATCTGGATGTGGAAAGCCAACTGAGATGGAGAAAGAAATAGGCCAAATACATGCGTAGCCCCTTAAACTTGACACCAATTTTCCACCTAAACACTCTAACTAAGGTTTGTTCCATTTAGACACTCTAACCTTATTTAATCTGTACCAACCAAACCGCTCATGACTAACCACTACAAAAACTATCATACGTGAACTTCACACGCCTGACATATCAAAAAGAACGACTAAAAAATGCCATGTGACTTTTAACTTTGGCTAATCCCAAAAATAAAGTTTTTCAACAAATAACTTTTAACTTTCTTCTTCCATACAACTCACCCCCACCTCAAACAATAGTTTAGATATCGTTTGCAAATCCCCACTCTGTCTTATTCTATAACGCCCCCNATATATATATATATATATATATATATATGATATGATATGATATGTGTCGCCATCGACCACCACTTTTGGCACCCAACTCCGCTGCAATCACAACCGAACAACCACTCTACTACCTTCAAATCGTTCATGATTGGATTTGACAAATCTTTAATGAGTTTAGTTGGGCCTCTCTAACCAAAGACATGAAGGAATGAAATAGATGAAGGTGTTATTTTGGTGTTGTCTTTATGGAGATAATAGTGGATGGTGATTTTTTGGTTATGAAATTTTCGGCTGATGATGCCTGAAGCGGGTGGAGCAAAAAATATGATTCTTTTAGCATTTCACGCGCCCAAGAGAAATGTAAATCACACAATATGCCACATCATCGCTATGCGTTTAATAGACACATACACGTTGGAGTTTAAGTGTCTAAATGTAACAAATCTTAGTTAGAGTATTTAAGTGAAAATTTGGGCCAAGTTTAAAGGGTGTATATGTATTTGGCCAAAGAAATATGAATGATTGACTAGAATGGAAGAAGAACTCGGCCATAACCTTTTTCTAATGGTTCTTGTTTATCTTTTAGTTTTTTTCCCTATTTTTTAAAACCTTTTTTGTTTTAGTTAAATTCATCTGTTTACGTTTTATTCGTTATCATGACATGTGAATTACACACAACTTTTGTGTTTTGCTGCTTATCAATTTTGTATCTAAATAACATAATAAAGACCTGGTTAAAGTATTTAAATAGAACAAACTTGAGATAGAATGCTTAATTGCAAATATAACTCTTTTGTTTGTTTCACCTTTTATAACTTAGTGCTTGACAAATTATTTTGTCACAAGATGATCTCTTCATGTCATAAATGATTTTGGTCATGTTCTAATCCTTTTTGGTAAAATTACAGACGTTAGCTCTTTGTTTAAAAAAATATAAAAATACAAACATTAGTAATCTATAGAAAATCTCTTGAGAATTATGAAAGAGCCATGTCTAAAATAATTAATCATTGACGTGGTATTTGAGAGGTGGAAGAACCCAAGAAAACTACGACTTTGCCAAAAACCCTCAGTTGATCTCAATCCCTAGGGTTTTACGAAAATCCAAAATAAATCAATGGCATCATCAACTCGGATCTTCGGAAACTGCTGTCGAGCTCTTAGTGCTGCTTCTAAGACTTCCGCAGCCACGGTGACCAAAAGCAGAGGTCGGCCCAAAGGAATACTGAAACCGCAACCAGTTTCCCCTGCTCTCGGAAAGTTCCTAGGTACTGCTGAAGCCTCCCGCACTGATGCTGTCAAAAAAGTTTGGGAATACATCAAAACTCATAATCTTCAGGTCTGTTTCCTTTTGCTCAATATCACACTTGGATGAACTTGAGATAAAAGACATTATACTTCTATTTTGTGTAAATAAACATTTATTTTTCAACCACTGAAGTTCAATCAGTCTTTCAACAATGCCTCTCTCCCAAATTTTGCCTAAGACAAGGTCAAATGTGGAATTTAGTGCTTGTGTACTTGTTTTGCTAATATTTTTGTCTTACTTGTCTTTGCCGAGGTAATCATGTTAGCTATGCATCTTATAGTCTAGCTAGATAAAATGAATACTTGCAGTATTTGTGTACAGTGGAATACTGGATTAGTTGTCCCGTAGGAATACAATTGGTTTTGGCTACTATTCTGTTATACGATGGCTGGTGTTTATTGATTCTGTGGAAGCATAGCTGATATATAGTGCTGGCGTTTATTGATTCTGTGGAAGCATAGCTGATGTATAGTGCCTGCTTCTCAAATAAGTGCTACAAGGGTGTGTGCTATGCATCAGATTGGTAAAGTGTTACAAATTAGAATTCCGAGTGTTGTAATTCTGAGATCAACCTTAGATGGCATTGAGTGGAATCACAATGAAGGCAACCATGATTATCTACAGGTCCACTTATGCTTCTAAAGTTTGTTTCTTAGTTTCTTGTTTGAGATGAAATTACTTGTCGGGAATGCCAGCATTGCCTGAACAGAGTTTTTCACCACTTTTTGAATTTGGAATCTGTACATACGTCATAGCTGCATGTGACTGGGAAACTTCATATCTGCTATCCCTACCTACAGGGGCCTGCAATAGGCTGTTAGTGCAAAACAGTGCACTATGACCTTGTAGAGGGATTTTTTGTAATCGTGGCACCCGCTTCCATTTATGACCAGATGATTGCCATGGTTCATCAAAGTATTCACTATTTAATTTCTCCTTTCCCCCGTACAAAAATAAATGAAGAAAATTATGTTCGGCATTTGCATCCAAGGGTATAGCGTAGTGGTCAATGAGGTAGATGAAAGCCATGTGAGACCAAGGTTCAAATTCTAGCAGAGACAAAAAATACTAGGTGATTTCTTTCCATTTGTCTGTGCCTTGGTTGGCAGAGTTATCCGGTACTTGTGCATGTGGGAGGTTGCAGGTATCAGGTGGAGTTTGCGTAAGCTGCCCCAATCACCGCCATTATAAAAAAAATATTGGCGTTTGGGAGTTGGTCTTTCTTGTCTATGACTCAACTCAATCCAAGAGATTTCTGATGTGTGCAAGAAGAAATTGAGTTGGTCAATTTGATCACTGCTAACTATTTTTGTTTCCAGTTTTTCTTTTTTGGTGCAACGGTATTATTGTTTCAGCTGAAGTAAATGTTTATCACCTCCCTTTGGTTTAATTCCTGACACGGTGCTTGTAACTTTGCGATTTACAGAATCCTGCAAACAAGCGAGAGATACATTGTGACGATAAGTTGAAGACGATATTTGATGGCAAGGACAAAGTTGGTTTTCTAGAGATTGCGAGGCTATTAACCCAGCATTTTCAGAAGGCTACTTAAGTTCCAGTCAGGCGGCTACGTCTGTAAACATTAGGCACTTTGTGGATACCGAACTTTGTTGTTTACCTAGCTGGCTACCTTTTTTTAGTTTCTAGTAGCTCTTCTGTTTTCCTTCACCCTGGTTTGAGTTGCCAAGGGGGGTAGATCAGATGCTCTTTAAATCAAGTTTTGTGAAGTTGAAACGAAAAGCAACAGGGTAATGGTAAAACTAACACCACCATTGTTCATCCATCCCAAAGATCCTTTCTTGTTCCTTTCACAATTTGAAGTTAAGCTAGGTATGTGGGATAAAATGCATTTGGAGCAGAATTTGTACTAGTTGAAATGTAAAATTCTTATTGCAGCAATATCAGTTCTCTTCATTTTGCTGATAAAAATGTTAGCCTATTCATCAGTGTTTTTGCTCTGGTTTAGCTAATTGATATTCAGAGCCCATTAGTTTGAATAATCCGGATACTAGGGGTAGGGGGTTACCCGGGTATAACACTCCTTATTAGAAGGTTCTTCATTCACGTGTCTTGGACTCGAGACCTTTTGTTAAGGGTAGAGAAAACCAAATCATCCCACCACATTTTTTAGTGATTATGCAACACGAGAATGTTTTAGGGAGTCATGCATCCTAGTACTACTCTCATACAAGCACGGTAGCTTCGGAGTTTTGATGACATATGCCAATACATCAATGTTGACAACAAAGAGCACACAACAGTTAGTTATTACATCTTATCCCAATACATCAATGTTGACAACAAAGAGGACACAACAGTTAGTTATTACATCTTACTGAGCCTACATCTTCTAAGTTTGCAAAAATTGAGCACGGAATTACAAATTGAGTCAACATCTTGTTTTATAAAGCGTTGTGTTTAAAATTACAGTATGGAAATACAATACTTGCACTGAAAATTTAAACGGTTTTATTTGATGTTATGTTATTTGAATCGAAAGTGTTCAGTTTTCCATACCTGAAAGATCAAATATGCTCAAAATTATATTATAGGTAGGAAAAATTGACTATATTATAGGTACGAAAATAGACCTAAAAAATTAGTTAAACAATCTACCCATGGTCTTCTAATGTGGCTTTGAACGCCTAAATTTGTGGAAAATGAGTACGTTTGGTGACATTTTTCGGATTAAAAAAAAGTTGTAAGCGTACCACATTTTAGATTTAAATGTGCAACTCAAAACAACATGCCATACTAAAAAGATTCAATAGATTATATATATACCAAAAATTAGTTTACATAATAAATACACGACAAAAAGATTCAATTGAACATCCTTTCAAACACTTGACTCCGCACAGCTCCTAATAGGCAATTTTGCCCCTAAGTTGTACTTTTTAAATTAAGTGACGATGTCAGATAATTTTTAATAGGTGAATTGAAAACCTTTTCATTGAAAATAAAATGAAAACTTTTGGCGATTAGGCAAAATACCTTAGTAAACGAATATAGGCTTGGGAATATTTTTTAGTGTCTTGTCTACCTTCACTTTATACCCATTTTCTATACTAACCACTCACCGGTCACCACCTACCCTATTTATCGAAGACGAATCCCCATTTATTTACAAAGACGCCACATAGGTGTTAGAAAACAATTACACTCATTTCCTATACTTGTCAAACCTTCTGAAACACCATTTACAAGCATTTCTTCAAAGGTTTGTTTGATAGTTACAAATAGTGTCAGTCAATGGCTGCCGAACATGATCAAATGCCAGTGAAGGAAGAAGAGTATCTGGACGTCCTTACTAAAACTGGAGAAAAAACTGGCATCTCTAAGCCCAGGTACCAATCCCACATCATTAGGGTTATACCGAATTTTGATCAATTTTTCATTTCTTATTAGTTTGAATTCTTGGTATAAGTTTGCTGATTGGAATTTTGATTCAACTAGTTGGGTTCGAACGGACAGAATTATGTATTCATTATACTTTTACTCCTCCATCAGCCTACTTACTGCTATTGGCTTCTTTTATGCTAGAATGTGGCAACTCAGCAAGTTCTCACCGACACAGTCTTAAAATATATGCGGTTAGAGGCAGGGCTGTTGAGTTGGATAGGAGAAAGCAGCTTCCCATCTCTTGTACTTTCTTCCAAAAGAAATAAACAGGAGAAAAAGTGAATTGAATCTTGACAAGATACCTAATTTGTCAAATTGACTAATAGAATTTGATATATTTAAGCTCATAGTTCCCTAAATATATCACGTTTTAATGATGTCTTGGTACCAATTACCATAATTGTGCTACTTGTTCAGAGGGGATGTTCACAGAGCTGGAGAGTACCATCGCGCTGTTCATGTATGGATATTTGCTGAGAGTACACAACAACTATTACTCCAACGTCGTGCTGATTCCAAGGATTCCTGGGCTGGTCTGTGGGATATCTCAAGTGCCGGTCATATATCTGCTGGAGATTCATCTCTTATTTCAGCAATGTATGTTCCAGCATGAAGCTGAACTTTCTGGATAGAGTTTCACATGAACTGGTTTTATTTTTCCGAGTTTGCTTTCATCTGTTGATGCCTCAGGCAAATTCTTAAACATAAAGTTTTTTGCATGTTCTTGAACCATTATTTGGTAACTTTTGTCCCATGATCGTAGATTGTCTCGTTGCGTCGCTCGAAATTTCAGTGATTCTGTATTCTCCTGCCTCTTTGTGTTGCTGCTTTTTTCATCTACCAATGGATTTCTTTTTCTTCCTTATCTTTCTCAAATAAAAAGAAGAAACCATATCTTGAACCAACTCTCTCTGTGGCTTATGACGAGTGAAATGAAAAACTCTTTGCCCTCTATCTGTGATCTTTTTACCATCATAAAGCTTTCTGTCTCTCTCTCTAAACTTTCTAATGGAAAATGTCGTATCTGATATTATTTCACAATGAATGGATCTTGCAGCAATGACTCCTCTGGTTTGCTATCATGCTAATTGATACAAACACTTCACGTGCTGCATAAAGTGGAATAGCTTTTGCTGATGTAATTTCACACTTCACCAAATGCTCAGCTCTTAGAACTTGCTTTTTTCTTTTGTTAAGTAATAGTCAGCTGTCACAATTTTGCAGTGCATATGATCATTCAAGTGTCAATAATTTCTTCCTTATAAAAACGCAAACTGCAACTTCTAAACCTCTTTAATTATGAAGAAATATAAAATATGTTATTTTTGTAACACACATTTATCATACAAAGAGAGTTTTTTCATGCCAGTGAATAACCCATGCATAACCCGCTTTGAAATGCTGAATGTTCTCTTCTGTGCTATTGCATACATACTTCGCATGAGCACTCTTACTTCTAAATGCTTTTCTGCTGGGGCTTGTACTGTTGCTTACTAATACATTCTTGCAGGCGAGAGCTTCAAGAAGAACTTGGTGTAACTCTTCCGAAGGATGCATTTGAATTAATATTTGTTTTTCTTCAAGAGTGGTTGGTATACTAAAGCTCTAATTCATCATGTCTTCTTATTATACGGTATCAAGCAGACTGTCTGTTAGCTTCAGAGCTATGAATTTGTTCTTCTTCTTGTTGAATCTTCTGGACAAATGTGTTGTCCGTTATCTGTCAACTGGTAAATAAGATCTCATTACATAATGAAAACATTTTTCTTTGCAATTGATGAATACAACTGAGTTACCTAAATGCAAATTTTGATAATGATGTTTGCTATTTCGTATGCACCTTGAGCTGTCAGGGAGCTTGGTGGCATATAGAAGTGGGGCAACCAAAGAAAAGAAATATTGATAGCTATACTGTTGGAAATGTTCATAAGGTTTTAATCCCATAAGTTTTCATTATTAACACTATCACTAATTAGCTCCTAATAGATCGAGTATGTGATACTTTTGGCGATGTGTTTGAAGCCCAGAGTTAACAAAACCTCAGTCATTAAATTTGCAGCCCATCTGCCTAATATGAGTTATTGGTGCTGATCTTTTTGTTTGATCCGGTAGACTAGACTGTAGTATAATTCTATTTTACAGGTATAACTCAAGCATGTCTATAATATGTGGTTATTACCTTAATATAAACTAATATTTCAAGCACATATCTATCAAATGATGTTCAAATTTCTGTGTCCGTTTTGCCCAAAATTTCCAGGGCTTTTACACATATACAATTTATTGGACTTTAACTATTAGAGCACTTTCTTGATAGTGTTTTTTTTTTTTTGGATAAATCAAATACTTTGTTGAAAGTTATATCATAACCAACTAGGAAGGAAAGAAAATAATACATACTCTAGAACATGTGCAATCATCGCTTCAATAATATTTTCTCAAGCTATTGTTTTTCGAAGCATGAGATTCTGTTGGTCAATGGAGTACGCTGAATGTCCCATTAAATTGCAGCACTATCAATGATGGCAAGTTCATCAACAATGAATACAATGATGTATATCTAGTGACAACAATAGATCCAATTCCTTTGGAGGCCTTTACACTTCAGGTTAGTGGTTTTGTTTGTCGTTAAATTTTCTTGTAGTTGCTCAGATTGCCTGAGATTACTATGTGTTCATCACTTGGTATCTCATGTTTTGCCTTAGGTTTATTGTTCATTAACTGGAAATAGAATTCCTGCAATAAGAATGAATGTAAAGGGACTAAGCTGTCTATAAGTGTAACGTCTTCACAGTTTTTGTCTTTTATCTTAAGTGTGTTGGAGATGAATTCTTGAAATTTTATAGATTATTAATTTTTTTAATTTGATAAGGTAAATAATTTTATTAATGATGGGAAATCTCCCGGTATGCCAAAAGGTATAGAACCTATTGAAGAATATGGTTCTCTACGGAAGCATCCAACTAATGAAACCTCATAGGCGCACAAAAAATAAAATAAAATGAAGAGGTGATTTTTGGATGCCAACCAACTAGGGATGGCAATTGGGGCGGGGCGGGGCAGGTGAAACACTTAACAGGGCAGGGTAGGGCAAAGTTTAATTTTTGAAAAAATTTAATGGGGCAGGGCAGGTGGCAGGTCAGCCCTTAGTCCAAATAGTGGGCCATTTGGTAGCTTGAGGCCCAGTTCATTCCTTGCTTTCTGTAACTTTCATTTTTTTCTTTTGTTTTAAATTGCTAAATATGTACTTGAATATGTATGTATATCTCAAAAGAAATAACAAGCTCATGCCAAAAAATGGTGATAGCTTTGTAAAATATGGTGTGTGGTTTTCGATTTTTTAATCTAAAGTAGCCAGGTTTACAAGTGGTAATTGAAAAATAGCCACAGTTTCAAAAATAATTGAAATTTAGCCACTTTTCATATAAAGATAAATCTGAACGAAAACACCGTTCAAAATCCGAAAAATATTCCAGCATAATATACTGGAGTTCAAATTTTTTGCATGGTAACTTCCAGTATAATATACTGGAGTTTCAGCATAATATACTGGTCCAGCATAATATGCTGGAAGTTCATACATATGTGCTCCAATCTCCAGTATATTATGCTGGAACTTTTCGTGTGCTGGAGTTTCAGCATAATATGCTGGAAGTTCATACGCATGTACACCAATCTCCAGTATATTATGCTGGAACTTTCTGTGTTGCAGTAAAATAATGGCTATTTTTCAATGACTTTGCAAACGCTGGCTATTTTTCAATTACCAGTCCGAAAATTGGCTAGCTCGTGCTATAATTCAAAAATAGCCAGATTTACAAGTGGTAATTGAAAAATAGCCACAGTTTCAAAAGTAATCGAAATTTAGCCACTTTTCATGTAAAGATAAATCTGAACGAAAACGCTGTTCAAAATCCTGAAAATATTCAAGCATAATATTATGGAGTTCGAATTTTTTACATGTGAACTTCCAACATAATATACTGGAGTTCCATCATAATATACTGGAGTTCCAACATAATATACTGGAGTTCCAACATAATATGCTGGAAGTTCATACACAGATGCTCCAATCTCCAGTATATTATCCTGGAACTTTCGGTGTGCTAGAGTTTCAGCATAATATGATGGGAGTTCATACACAGGTGCACCAATCTCCAATATATTATGCTGGAATTTTTCGTGTTGCAGCAAAATAGTGGCTATTTTTCAATGACTTTGCAAACGCTAGCTAGTTTTCAATTACCAGTCCGAAAACTGGCTAGCCCATGCTATCTCCCTAAAAATAACCCCGTCAATTTTTTTTAATTTGAATTAAATACTTATCTTTCATTATAGTATCTTTTAAATGTACAATAGTCACAAAACGTTAAATGAAACAGACTTTTACTCATTTCTGTACACTTCTTTCTCTATTTTGTTTTAAAAACACCAAAAAGAACTTATAGGTATCCTCAAAAGGTACTAAATAATTTAAAATTTAAAGTTGTACACCCTACTAAAAAGTTATTGCAAGAATTTCATTCACAGTTTTGATTAAGTTACATTCACCTCTTCTAATATTACATGCAAACACTTAAATGGAAGACCAAATCACTATTTATTAGTATATAATACCCAAAGTGACATTGAAAACAGAGAATATTAAGTTAGAATATTGTTTAACAAAGAGTAAAAAAATTAACAAGTTGATAGTTAGAGACGTGTTTGTGAACATAAAATAATTTTTATTTTGCTTAATTACAAATGAATCAGAAAAATATTTTGTTTTGACAACAACAATAAATAAAATGATTAGTGGGGCGGGGTGGGGCAGGAAGTTATATGGGGCAAGGCAGGGTAGGAGAAATTTTTGGCAGGGGAGGACTTAACCCGCGCTTCCCTACCCCACCCCGCCCTATTGCCATCCCTAGAACCAAGCAAAAGAAAAAAACATACATTTTTTGGCTCTTTGGGAATCCAAATGATAAATGGAGGACATTTGACTTGGGATGGGGTTGCCTTCCCGCAAAGCTTGATTTGGAACCATAAAACACATAGAAATGTGTTTTTTTCACATGGCTAGCAGCAAGAGATGTGATCTTAATGACATAGAATGAATCTGAGGAAGAGGAAGGTTACTTACATCAGTTAGTGTTTTATGTGTAAGGGCTTGGGCAAGGATGTCAATCATCTCCTCCTACATTGTCAGGTAGTTTCAAAGCTATGGTGAGAAATTCCGAGTTGGTCATGAATACATTTAGTGATGCCAATCATAGTGAAAGAAGTAATGTTCAACTGGATTATGGTAGCTGACAAGGTGCAGGGCCTAGAAAGTTACTCCACTAGCACCTGCCTTTTGAAGAAAGAGAAATGGGAGAGTTTTTGAAGTTGTAGGAGATAAACTTTGTACAATTATGGGGTAGCCTCTTATCCTAGGCTAACTAGGCACTATCTTCTGAAGCTTGGCTAAACTCGGATGTCCCAAACGCCTGTAAGTTAAGTATGGAGGATTTGTAACTGGATATATATGTTGTGGATGGATTGAGAGAGTTAAGATAGTAAAGGCTTTGTGATTCACTCCCTGTGCCAATCGTTCGTCCCGTACTGCGGTCATGCATAATAAAAGAATCATCAATAAATAATATACTATAATTGAGGGCACGACTCAAACAACTAACACATGCAAGACTGAAAGGACAGCCAGGAACATAAAGAACATAATCTAGAGTGACACAGGATACAGATTAGCTTGTCCAACTCCTTTTGCTTTTGTTTGAAACCCATTGACTAAAGTAACAGTTGGAAGAGATTGGGAATAAATAATATTAGACAAAAGTGTTTTGTTACCAGAGATATGGCCTGAAGCGCCAGAGTCCATGACCCACGGTTCAAGAGTACTAGACTGTGAAACACAAACAAAAAAATTACCAGTTACAGAAGTATCAGTATGAGCAACAAAGGCTACTTGTGGATATGTCTGCTTACTTGCTCGATGCTGAAAGAACTCATTATATATTTTGATATGGTAATAAATATCATTAAAAAAGGGCAAAATATGCCCGTATACAACGAGCATACCAAAAGGTAGAAAATCTTACAAAAGGACATGTTTTTCTACGGAAGACACCCAATCTTCTATACAAAATAGGAACCCCATGGGTACACCAAAAATAAATAAGGGAAAAGAAACTACTCCTCAAGTGAATAAGATCTTTTTCTACTCCATCAAAAACTCTCCTATTCCTCTCATTCCAAACAACCTACATGAGTGCTAGAGGAGCAACATCTGCGTCTTCTCCTCTGTCTTCTGAAGGCCCAACTAAAAATAGTTTCTTTCACCGTGTCTGGCATCAACCCCTTGAAACTGAACCAACTCACAATTTTCCCCCACAAATAAGATGCTATTTGACAATGTATAAGGAGGCGATTCACATCTTCTCCCGATCCTTTACACATGAAGCACCAACTAACATAAATAATCTTCTTTTTCCTCAAATATTCCGCCATCAAAATCACCCCTCTTGTAGCTAGCCAATTAAAAGAGGCACACCTTTCTCGGTAGGCAGAAATATTCGGGACCCCCCCTAAACTTGACAACTTTTATTTAGTTCCCCCTTAAACTTTACGTGGTCTTTAATATCCCTTGAACTTGGAAATTTAACAGCCTCGACCTCCCTAGATGTTGATGTGGCAAAGGGCGTGAATATACTCTCTTTTAGGCGCGTGGGAGGGAAGAAAAATCGAAAAATCAACTTCTAAGTGGAGTATTTTTCAAATATTAATTGCCTTATAATCAAATATAATGATTTATTTGTCTTAATTGTATTTGTTGTTGTCTCTTCTGAATATACATTGCACTTTATCTCAATTGTATTTTAGATACAATGAATATTTGTTGCGACTATGTATTTTTTTTTTCCGGACCAAATATGCAAAAGTTAGTTGAAACTCTATTTCTTTTAGCCAAATAAAAAGAAGGTTTAGCCAAAGTAATGAAGTTCAAATGATGTATTTTCTACAAAAAGAAAAAGTTATTGTTACAATGACTATTTATTTAAACTATGCATTATTTTTTTCATGGTCAAATTCGTAAATTATTTGGTTGAAATTTTATTATTTTTAGCCAAAATATTTTTTTCCAAAATATCCAATAACATATATTTTATATATATATTGTTTAGATGCAATGCGTATATGTTTTAACTATGTATTCCTTCTTTTCCTGATCAAATATGTAAAAATAACTTGATTGACATATCATTATCTTTATCCAAATAAAAAATTATAGTCAAAATAATGTTGTTCCAATTTTGTTTTATAGATTTGACATAAAAAATAATTTAAATAATCAGTGGACTTAAAAAGGTAAAAATATATATTTTATTGTTGAAAAATACCACATGGACAAAAATAATCCATGTAGTAGCGCGTGTGTCACTCTCCCATGGATTGTCAACGTCTAGGGGGGTTGAGGCTATCAAAATACCAAGTTCAAATGGGTATTAAAGGCCACGTAAAGTTTAAGGGGGAACTAAACAAAACTGAAATGGTTCCAATAAGAGCCCTATTTGCTTCCAACATCAGTTCAAACTTGAGGATCTCCTTTTGGAATGACAATTGGATAGG